GTTTTAAAAAATCTCATATCGAGCTAATCATCCAAGAAGTAAAAATTCAATCACATTTAAAAAGATTTTATTTGAACAAAATTCAACAGAAGGTATAAAATACGCCAAAACTACCTAATTTACATTGACTTGTCCTACTGGAAAATGCTGCAGGCTAACCAGATAAACTTTAGACATTAGAAAAATAAGATTCATATTCCAAAGGAATAGAAAAGTTGTTTACAATACTTTTTGTGCCTAATCAAAGAACCATATGATGACATTAAATATTCCGCATTTTTTAAAGTTGCCCCTTCATTGTCAGTAATGGAGAACTACTCTAAAAATCTAGTGTAAAAAAGGTTTTCCCCCAATGAGCATTTTCATATACAAAAGCTGTCCTGAGTATGAAAACATTAAACAAGTCAGTTTATATTTATTGTCTTCACTATAATATGGCCTACATGTACCCTGTCAATGAATTTTTTTTTTTTTACTCTGACAATTCGGTAATTTAACACGACTACGATAGTAGAGGATCAAATTCCAAAAGGTTGAATAATTTGATTCAGATGTTTTGAATTCATAGAGTATCTTTCCTCCAGGAAGTATAAAGTGATTTATATTCAGTATTTTGATTTTATTTGCATTACCCTTACCCAATCCCCTCTAGAATTATCCTCTGAGGTAAATAGGGCACTGAAAATAAAAATTTTAAACTGTAGAATTGGTTATTTGTTATCATCTTGAATAAATTCAACCAAATTTTTCCTTGTTAATGGGAAACTATAAAGCCTTTCAAATGAGTACATTCCACTAGTCTGAAATACAATTCCTGTGTTTTTGAAATTTCATTGGCTGAGATTAGGCTGAAATTTTAGAGACCGAGCTTAAATAAGTTAGTTACTTTTTAGTCAAATGTAAAATTAACTTTTGCTTATACCTAAAACAGAAATTTAAAGAGCAAAGAAAACTGGAAAGCTCATTTGTGTTTACTGTAAATGTACCTACCATCTTACCAAAAATCTTTACAGACATGTAACTAAAATATACGAATGCCAATAGCAGATGGGTTAAAATTCTCTTCTTTCAGAAGGGAAATAAATTGCAGGCTCTACTAATAAGCAATTGCTAATCTAAAAGATCTACAAGCTAGAAGAAAATACATTGTATTAGAATACCAAGGTCTTTCCCCACAAGCCTCACATTTATTTTTGCTGAACTAAACTGATGTAAAACTAAGCTATATTACAATTTGAGATAGTAATTTCTGTCTGA